ACGCATCGCGGAATGCTTCTATATGACCAAGCGTCTTAAACAGCTTCTGCTGAGGAAGCCCTACTCACTGTCTTCCCATGGCGGAGTTGTTTTCCTACCAAATTAAGAGGACGAAAAGCCGAAATCCGGGTTAGTGGACCACTGGTAATTCACCTAAGGGAGTTGGCTAAAAACCCTGATTCCAAACCAAACAAGATGAGGTGTAGGAACAACACACCTGCCTGGTTGTGACAGTGGCCACCGGCTTGATGGGGCATCAAGGTGTATTAGTCACATGGGCAGTTTAACCGCGTCCAAAGGGCGTATGATTCAATGAACTGGACACCGGTCCCCAATGGACTGCGGACTCTAAGCTCCGTCTTTTTGTCTTGCAGGTCTGGCATTCTAACCGAAGGCTTCGGGTGGAGACCCTGAGGTTATCCCTCTTCTTCGGTCAAGTAGTATGCCCACACAGCCTATGAACACATTCTAGAGNGTTCATATGTTGCCAGTTCTCTGTAATTGGTTACGTATTGAAATAATGTCTAAAAATTCGACATCCGTAGTAGTACAGGAAGCAATCAAAATTCGTGTCATTCATCATTTTTCTTTGATCCATAAATCAATCCACTTGTGTGAAACACCCGATGGGACAAGAAGAGAAAAAGCTTTTAAGTAAATGTAATTCTAATAACCTATGTAGACATAAGCCCTATATTGCAGTTCAAAATATACAAATTTGAGAGAGGAAGAAAAAAGATTTAAATCGCAAAACTTTTGACAAAACTTGTGAGAAAAATGTTCTTAGTTAACTAGAATACGTGCTAAAAGATGGTACAGTAGAGTTACGATGTATATGTATGTTTTATTCGAGAGGGAACACAACGATATTGGTATCCAGTTGATGGATGGGGACAATAAGAAGTTTAATCTGTGTGTAGCGGATGCGTGGAGACTACAAGAATCTTATCTGCAAACGTTTCACATGCATTCAAATGACGTTCGCACAGGTTAGTTACCAACTCATCCAGCGGGACTGAGGTATTCTCATAAAAAAACTTTGACGGCCTGATTATTGGCCCCGGATTTTATAGGAATCCCTTTGAGTTCTATTGAGCTCAAAATGCGAACACCCGTGTAAGTCTGTTTGTTTTGCTTTGGCCATGACACAAATCATTGACCCAGTAGTTGTGTACTTAGAATGCACCCCATCAGGTGACTTCTGATTATCCCGGGCTGACCATTGTTCCCGTGATTTTTGAACAGAAAACTTTTCGAATTCATCCATTCCTCCTTGCTTTTATCACTTAATGAGATTAATGCCACCGTATTCTGCATGTATGAGGTGTCTTCCGTTGATGGACAAACCATAAACGATGGGAAAATGGCACACTACAGTTACCTGGTCTTAATCCATCTCGAGGTAAACACATAGGTGCACGTCTATTGGTTGAAGTGCCTTCGTGATCCAAAAGCTGCAGGCGTCGGATTTACTTCCCGGAAATAGACTAGATATTGAGAAATTAGGGTATAGCTGAGTGGTGGTCTATTCTTCACTTAGGCTCTATTCCAATCCACAGTGTTAATGTTTCCATGTCCCAAAGGCAGAAATTTCTTCTTCATTGACCATCCCATCAAAAAAGGGGATTGGCTAGTGCAACTAATGCGGTGAGGTCAAACGGATCTAATGGCGCCGCAATCAAGAAAAAAAATAATTACAATTACCAACACCACAAATACCCTTTTCATCGCGAACAGCTGAGCGTCAAATGATTTGAACCGACCATCCTTCAGACTCTAGCTTCACGCAGAATCCTCAGTTCTTCCCATCAACCACAAACTAAGAAGCGCTAGACTCCAGTTTTGCTCTTATGAGAGCTATCCACCGGCAAATCCGGGCTTTGAACTCCGGACCCATCGCAGAAAAGACATGCGTCATCACCGTATCAACCAGCTCACACAAGGACTGAACCGAATTTTGAAGTCATGTTTGTTCGTGTCGTCTTCAATAATAGTTCATTTGAGGCCAGATGGCAACTCTAATCGAAAGCCTCACACCAAATGTGGATGGTCAGTTCAAATTAACACTACTTATCCCACACAATTACTCACAAGTAACTGTGAGTTGAATGTGGATTTGATACACTATTAATGAAACATCCTGATGGCCTACAACGTTCGTATATGATCGACCATGGGAGACGTTTGAAAGGTCTCGCAACGGCAGAGACTACGCACCGCGTTTGGCGCACGATCCAGTGACGCGTTTTGTCGTAGTGTAGAACCTGATGATTTTGTTCGGTCGAACTTGAAACGTTTCAGCGGTGTGTACGGAGGCAGTGAGATTTTTAGGCAGAGCACACTGGATAGGCTATTCAGGTCCACAGTCAAGGTTGCATATTGTGCACTCAACCAACTGAGGATCACACAAGCAGNNNNATGCGTGGTTTGTAATGCCTGTTGAGGACTTCCAGCGTTTTGCAAGCGGAATATAAATTTGCGAAAATCTTATCCTCATACATGTATTCCCTGTTCTCGTTAGTGAAATGATCCAGATTGCATGACCTCATTGCAGAGAGTACATTGTATCACTGTTGCAATTTGAGAGTTGCAGAATGTGATCACTAAAAATATGCACTTTCTATTCTGCTTAATAGGACGGGTTCATCTCAAAATCTATAATTGACGTTTGTTTTTGGCACAATGTTACATACGTACAGGACAATCGTAGCTCTGAGCAATAAAATGCAGGCACAATGACTGTGGTATTCCGATAGTATCCAAGCGCATATAGCCAATCACTGATTGGGTTTATTGCCATCAACCAATTGAGTACGACAAAAACTGTTCCCACACAACAGGTGCATAATACACCTGAAACGTTAGTAGTTCATCTTTAGAAATACGGATGACCAAATGCAGCTCACTCATGGATAGCTGTTCGTTTTGAACAGCAGAAGTCGCCCACATCAGTTTCACTGATTGTTCTCGGTACAAATGACCATTTCTAGTTGTGTTGGCTCACATGGTGCCACGAAGCAATTGTTATACTTGACATTCCGAAGAATCCATTGGAATGGCGAGTGAATGTGAAACAAAAGAGCCGATAAAGTGGGACATTCCGCTGCCTAGTATATTTGAAAAATACCATTATTCAATGCATGTCGAAAACAGCTTGTTCAGCCCCTTACACCCACAGTGGATTTCTCACCGTTTTGCACCACATGCCCATTGTGCAGCTGACAGATGCATACACAATGCAATGAGCACAAAAGTCACCCCCCCCCCCCCCGAAAGTTGCTGCAATGCTTCGGACTGGTTCACCTTTGATACCTTATTTTAGTCAATACACAGTTAAGGTAGAATATTTGTAAAATGCAAAAATTCACTCCGGTTACCTTGGCCCCTGTTGGAGGCGCTGTTATCAGATTGCTAAATAGTGACTTCTGTCCGTGTTTGCACTTTTTTCCTGAATTCATTCGGCAAATTCAGTTCATGCCCTGTTATGGAAATTCTTATTCAGTTTCCAGCGCAAAATACACAGGATTTATGTTATTTGGGCTATCACTACCAGTAATAATTATGCGACGAATTTTGCGAAGCTTTTATATGATCCATGCGAGTACCTTGAAGCTGTTTCAAGAAGCCACTGAACTGTCTAAACGAGAGTGAGAGATTTCAAGTGCATTATTTCTTGTCAAAATTGAGACAGATCGACCCACCATAAGTATGCATTGTCTGCGTGAAATGCTTTTTAGGTTAAACTAAATCCGCTAATTACTTTGTTCACCGAAAATCTTGACAATCGAAAGGAGTCTCCACTGGTCAAATGAGGGTTCACCTACCTCTGATATGGTCAAAGCAATAGGTAATCCCTGGGACGCCCACATGAACGAGACGCGAGGCCAGGTGATCGAATCATCTGATCGCAGTCACAAGCCTTTTTTCACAGTTGGTGCAAAAACAACATTCCCACCGCTTGAAATTGTACGTACGCACACGTGATGATGCGTCGTTTTGGTTTCGGAACGAGCAGCGATCTGAACACCTCGTGCCAGCATTTTATTATATTCGAAACATACGGTACAAAGTCACTTCACTCGACAACAACAATCCGGAGATCCTGGTTCTGTTCGGGATAGGTCAGTGTATGCGCGCGATTCTACCTGATTGGTAATTTGGTGAAACCATCGGTTACGTACGTCTGACTGATACGGCCTAAAAGAAGCGTATCCGGCTAACTCATGCAACATATTTGGCAGCAGTAAAACAAGCGTGGTCTGAATACTGGAGTACAAAGTCCTACAGATTTGATCGAGCCTTCTCTGGCAACCCATCCATGCAGGAGAAGAAGCGTAAAAACAGAAAAATGAGTGTTGTTTCACCGATACGGTAGTTGAATCACAGAAGGGTCTTTTTTCTGTCGCAGTTGTAGGATTTGGCAAGAATTACTCTTTTCGTCTAGAAATGGTGCAAATGGGATTTTTTTCGATCAGTATGCGGACTGAACAAGAGCAAGCAGTGAATAAATCGAGACAACTCAGTTACAAAGCGGCCTCGTTTTGGTAATCAAGGACAAGAATGCGTATAAAAAAGTAAGCCATCAGTGACAAAGAATAGAACGAGTCACTGGGAGAATATCAGCGTGAGTGAGTGATATAGATATATAGCGAAGCACGTGAAAAATTGTAGTAAGAGTCTGAAACGTGACATTTTAGCAAATCTTACCTGATTGATCGCACAATTGTGGTTGGGTAAACATTTGCGTGAGATACAGATAGTCACATAAACAGTTAAAAACGAAATCTGTTGAAAAATGCATGTGGAACGTAAAATGAAAAAGCAGACAAGTATTCGATGAATTTGGAACACACAGCGAAGCTCAACTGTATGGTACAGAACATAAGAAACGAATAAAGCACCTGAAAGACATGAACAAAGTTTATTGAAACAAAATGAGAATCATCGGTGTATAGAATGAGAAAAATAATAAGAAACGAACCGGACTGCATAGAGTGAAACAACTGGATTCCAAACGACTGACCAACTGTACACAATAACAAAACAGGGAGGGCAGCGAAATCAAAGCATAGAGGCAAGCTGTTCAATCCTGTCTCGAGCACTGTAAATGTAGGCTTCGGTCTCCCAGACCATTTGTAGCAATTCTTTCGTATCTACAGTGTCCAGCGCGATATGAAGCGATAGACGTGGACTGAACCGAAAGAACGGGACACCCAATGAAGCACACCAGGCGCTAGCGCGATCGACTACCGGACCTGAAAAACGTAGGTAATGGACAAGAACAATATGTATCCGAATTTGCATAGAATTAATATATATATATATATATATATTATTGTGACGAAAATACACCTCAAGTATATGAATGAACTGACAAAAGATTACCGGATACGCATGCCCGACGAGCGGCAAGAACCGCGAAACCGATCGTGTGCTTCCAAGGAAATTTTGTCCACTCATTCACATACTACTTACTGTGAAATATATATATATATATATATATATATATATATATATATAAAGTCATTTAGAGTAGTTAATCAGAAGTAAACATAAACATTCCTAATCCAAAACAAGCTGTACAAATCAGAGCAACCCACCTTCAGACATAGTAGCCACTTGTACAAGGATTCGACCCAGTGAACTGAAACCCATTGCAGAACGAAATGTTTCCATGAGAGATTGTGGCCGAAAAACGTCCACAGTCTCAATCGGTTCCACAGGCATTCGACCAGTTCCAAGGGAAACCATAATGGCCAATGGGGCAGCCGGTTTACGCTGATTTAGAATAAAGTTTGAAACAAGATGATGGTAGAATATAACAACATGGTATTTCAATTTTATTTGGGCAAAGTGAGTAATTTCTATTCGTTGTCAAATGTGGCGTCTCACAATGGTGAAATAAGATTTTCGGAAGATTATGAAAACTCAAACTACAGTTATGAGGTAAGCAGTGATGAATGAAAGTGCCCGGGGTACGTGATTACCAGACAATGATTTATAGCTATCCCGGTAGAAGAGCCTGTGACATTTTAGTCAATTAGAAACCAAAGTGAAGACGTGCATCGTAATAAACAATGAAGCACACCGTGAAGATACTAAAACTCCAGTGGAATTGAATCACTGAACAGCCCAAATTTATCACTTCGTATATTGTCATACAAAAACCAATTCGCCTATGTTTGAAGACCCAGAAATGTGGTTATACGTAAGTATAACCACATTTCTGCTAATTGGTTGTGTTCTCGTATTCAGTGGGTACAGCAGATGGGAATCACAGTCTCTAGAGTATTGTCTCTATGTCTAGGTTGTAGACAACACATACGCATACATAAAATAACGGAAGAGGGAAACGATGTGCGCGCGTTTGTACACCACAGATAGGTCGAAACTACCCAACCAAACTAAAAATTCGATGTGTGCCTTTTAAAATGTGATCAGAATTACTGAATGCACGGTACATGCGAACTCATGAGCAGAAGTCGTACAGCAGTCTATCGCTCGATCAACGAGTCAGATTACCAAAGAAGAAGCCGATCGAAAGCTGTTTGTTGAGCAGAATAACTTTAAAACACCAAACTTTGAACGATATCACACGCGAATTCCAGGTAAGTTAAGTCAAGTAATTTCGCAAGAGCGGGCATTTGTGAATGTTGCACTGCTAACACTAACTAGTGCCAATACAATCGAACTTCACAACCAGAGGGTTGTCACTAAAAGTCGATCAATGGCAACCATGCAATTTACTCAAAAAAGAGTATAGAAAGACCAAGGCAAAGGAACGTATCAAGTTCGACACAGAATACGCACTTTGCTCATTCTCATGCATGACTTTACATTTCAATCCATTGTGTAAAGCCGTGAACTATGTACTTCCGGGTTCGAATGTGGTTACTACCTTGAACGTGTTCAGCTTGTGTTCTTATCTAAGAGGTCGATCGGAAATCAAAGCAGAAAAACAACCGGTAGCTTTTCTGGAGAACGATGAACATTCTCAACATGCAGAACTATTTCTACGGGTGTCGAACTAGCTGCGCGAATTCCCTGGGCAATCGGACGATCGAGACCAATCCTTAAGTTTCGTTCTTGGCAAAATTACTTATTATTTGATGACACACTAGGGCGTCTTCTAGAATGCTGTCCATAACAGTAAATTGCTTCCAGCAGCGTTGGTGCTCACCGTTATTTACAGTTGATCTTGAAAGTATGGCAGTACGAAAAGTGAATGACACTCCAACATTTAAAAATGAAAATCAGAAGTGATTTATGCAAAGCAACATACAGCTGCTCGATCGAGAGCTATGCTTGCGGTTAGATCCGGATGAACCGATTTACTAAATCTACAACATGATCAGCTGAGCTAATGCCATTACAGAACCGCAGGAATTGTTAGTTCATGACACGGAGAACGGCATTCGCTACCGACAAAAGCCAGAGAAATAATGTGAAAGGCAGATGTTGTGTTTATTGGAACTGAACCGAAGAGCGCAACTTAAACCATAACAACGGGGACTGGGAAACTCACTCGGAGTTGCTGAACCATATGAAGCTCCTGTAACTCAGTCAGCATGTCCAAGGTTGGATTATTGGAGATTAAGCCCCCGTCCAGAAATTGTTCAATTGGCCTGAAATAAGTCGGCGCGGCACCTGTGGCACGAGCCGCTTTCCAAACGAGCTAAAAGAACACAGAGAATATGGTCAATGTTTGTGTGAACACACAGAACCAAAAATTTTGTGTTATTGTAATCCATAGTAGTTGGTGGTGTCTAAGATTTTTCAAGTAGTATAAAGCTCGCCGCACATTGATAAGACACATGATATCATCATCATCATCATCGAACAGAGAGATACAGGGAAGCGAACTTCACCGATCGCTGCCATGCATATGCACTGCGGCTTGATGGACGGGTACAGTGAGGGTGTCCAGCCACTAAGCAGGAGAACGACTAGGGTTCTCAACCAAAGCCTTTAGTTCTGAAAAATACCAAGCCGTAAGGCAGCGAGTGAAGCGAAGTGGAGGCCAATTTATTTGGATCAATTACTCCTCCACCATTTTTTAACGACTGAAACGCAAATTCTAGTCGAACCCCCAACCTGGAGGACCAGGAGATTGGACTTCCTTCGATCTCTATCCTTCGACCTTCCAGGTATGATTAAATCTACGGCCTAACAAAAGCCATCCCGTGTAGCCCGTTGGGTCAGAGAGGTGCACAAGCCATCACACCTCGTCAAGGTGCAGTTTCGTCGTGATGGAGACACATCTAAAAGAACTTTGTTACATATTACGCTGTTGCCCGAAATAGTTCACGTTCACATGGGTCACGCATAAACACATAACTAAGAAGTTAACTTGCAAACAGTTAAGAAAAGTAAACAGTTCAGTCAAGCAACCGATGACTGGTTACTAGTCTAGCTAGCCAACAGATAACAAAATGTAGTTCTTATGCCTTTTCAAAGCACATATTACAAAAAACTAAGCATGTCCCCTCATTAGGTTCGCGACTCTAGACTTTTCGACAGATTACGTACCATAAACGAATCGGTGTTGCACCACAATTCAGCCAAGCTGGGTCTAACGAAGATTTGTCTCATCAGTTATAGTGAGCGGTAAAACCCTTGATCTGGAT